CTGTAGCTGGAGCTTGCCGCTAAATGGTTCGGAACTGTTCACATGGACCAAATCCGTTGAAGTCTTTTTCTTTGGGCCCTTTCATGCAAGAAGCTCAAGAGATCCCTCGCTGGCATGCTGCTTTCGTTCCAAATGATTCCAGAGGCCCAATCTCCATGGAGCGCTTGATGTTACATCTCTGCAATTCTGCCAATATCATCCTTTGGCAAATGAATGTCTAGCGCATGCACAGTAGGGCTGACCATGAATTTGATTCCCATGTCACATTTCGTGTAGCTGTGAGCAATGGGCCGTCGTGCAGTTTCAAAACAGAAAGATCTTGAGTTGAAAGAATCAAAGTGACAAGGGGCAGGAACTATGATCTATGTTTGTAATTCATCCCATCAAGAGGAGGAAGAGATGGGCTCATCACGCTACATGGCACGAGGTCTTCACCATCCATCGTCCAGCTGTGCGGAGACCGCACCTTGAAAAAATCCACGCGAGGAGCATGGTATATCTCTCGTTTCTCCTGGCGAATCAAAAAAATGTTCAAATCAACTAGAGATGAAAATTGCTCCCATCGTCACACATGGTCACACACGAGCGCTCGGCATCCCACATCCATCAACCCAAGGTGAGTGTGCCCTTTCCAAAGCTTTTCTAAGGGGATACATCTTGTGTGGGAAACTCAACTTCCCCTAGCGACGCAACACCCAAATTGCAATGCACAGCCCTTTGAGCTTTACCCCATTCAACTTTTCAACTTCCCCTGTCCACTACAGAAACAAGAGTTTGTGAGCTACTTCCAAGCTTTCTCTGCTCCCCAAACTCCTGATCCTTATATATATATATATTATATTATATATACAATATACTCCCTACTTCATCTGCTCTTCTTCCCCAAACCCCACTTCCGGCGCAAACACCGCCGGCCAAGTGACGGCGCCAAACCGCACTCCTTGCTCTGCACTAGCAAAGCTTCTTGCGCCTCAATGAGGCGGTCCTGACATGGTTGACACAGCGTTAGCAGTTTGAAACGGACAGGTTCACGCTTCTAACGGACAGGTCCAAGACATGTTTGAAGGGAAAATTTGTTAGTTTCCCTCTTGCATCTGCATTTTATTTGCTGGAATGGTTGGTGTTGGCTTTGATGTCTATTCTGCGTGTGTGGATGGGGGTGAGTCTGGTACTGTACCATGCGAGAAATGCGTTGGTTTAGCCAGCTTGGGCATGGGTATTGTCAAGCCTGTGCCAGCGAAGCTGTGCATATAAGTTACTTCTCTGCAAGTCAACGTGCAATGGCTAGCCCAAGCTTGTGCAAGTAGCTGCATCAGCTTTACAACCTAAGTATCATTGCTTTGTTTGGGCCCCTTTGCCCCTGCACAAAGCGGATGATGTGGGTCGCTGGCTCCACATCCGGCTCCACATCCGTGTCAGTTCCAAGCCCCAAGGCAACCGGTGCAAGACAGATTTTGAAAAGAACTGAGACAGAGTTAATAAGAAAAAGATAATATATAAATATATATATACATATATATAAAAGGTACCGCCGCTAATAGTGACCCTGTGCGATTCGCACAGCGCCGAAGTGGACAGTGCTCAAAGTGTCCCATTTTTTTCATTTTGGAGAAGTTGGATCATATGTGCTTTCATCCCATTTTTTAGAAGGGACGGCACTTGCAACGTGGAATTTTGAATGGGGAAGAGCCGAAAGTGCACTCTTTTTTGGCGCACACGCGTTTTGCAGGTGTATGTTCTTTACACTTGCGGCCACGTTCGGGCCAACGCCTCGAGCAAGTTTCCTCTGTTGTTGCACCGAAACTGAAAACTGCGGACATATTGGTCGACGCGTTTTGCGTCGCGCAAGTGCAAGCGAACGTTAATATGCCCCACCCCACCCCACCCCACATCAACCACT